GATAATGCCACACAAAATCGCATCTCATGAGAGTCGCAAAGGTTCTATATCGCCGATAGATCGCAACAACTTAGATCTTAGTAGCAAGTATACCACTTAGAAATCAGCCCATATTTAAACGTCATTGTACCATGATAAACTTCAGATGGTGGCTAGTAGATGTAAATATATGCAAACAGTGTTTCAGTGAGAAAATCAACCAGTAAACCCTAGACTTCTTATTGATGACAACAATATCGACGTCATTAACTTTTTTCGCCTCAACTGCTGCCAAAAAAGTTAAATAAAACATGACTATTTTGTGAGTAACCCGATCCGCCTATTAACGACACAAACGGACCCAACCGGTTACCGTGAACAGAGCAAATGAATATCAAAAAAGAGCCATTGATACTGAATATGCAATTAAAATGCACCAAAGGAGTGGATCATCGTTTGATTGGCATAAGAAACGCACCTGAGAGACGGCATCGGAGTGCGCTCGCCAGGTGGCCACCACTCCACCGGTCCGAATGTCAACTTGGGAGGCGAAGCCCGACGCGAATCCACAGAACACACTGTTGTTCTCCTCTGGCCTTGAGGCTACGCATCGCAGAGCTCCTGGAGCGTTCAACACAGACTTATCTACGGGTGAAAAGAGAGTATGGCATCACTGCACCCGCAAGGAAACCCAATTTAGAAGAAGTGATAACAATAGGACTGTTGGCACCCCTGCCTTGAGGTAATATGATGCTATTAAGCAGTCGATTTTATTTAATTCAGTAGGTAAAGTTGTCTGGACAACTGTGTTGAGATCTACAGAACTGCAGGTACATCTCGTAACCGCATGAAGTAACGTCATCATCCATGTAAATAGCACAGAGGATATTTGTGTAATGAAATAAAGCAACTTGAAGAAGTAGGTGCAAGGGATACGCATATTCACGAGAGGAAAGAATTTTCTTATTAAAATGAGACATTGAGTAGACTTCTGGGGATGGAAAATGCAAATTTCTTTGCAGTCTCCCTTTTGGAAGAACAATAATCCTCCTCCACAAGTAATCTATTAAAGGGTGTAATTAATCAGCTTCACGATTTAGAACGAAAAAATTTATGTTTAACGGATGAGAAAGTAGGCACAAAATGTTAGATTGAAGGAAACACCTCAACAAAACAATGTTTCATGAACTATAAAGATTTAAAGGAAAAGATCCTCATTCTTTCAATTTCGACTGCGATCAAAAAGGTGGAGATAGGAAAAATCACCCCAAAGGTAGCTCAGAACCAGACTTCCATTGCAAAGGTAGACAACAGCACTGAGCCTGATATGCCTTAACAAGTGTGGCAGAACCAAAGGTTCGTGTGCCCAAATCCAGTGGCAGAAGTAATAGCTGCGATCGCACGAATCAACAGCACAGGTCTTTGGCGCCTCAGCAGAAATACTTCAGTTCTGACAAATAACTTGAAAACAAAACACCCAAAAAGGCTCTCATGATTTGTAAGAAAAAAAATCGCTCATAGAAGGCCGCCCATAAAATTGCGTTTGTTAAAATAATCGCAATTACATTTCTCAACCAAATCCATTTCCCACAAGACATTCCTGTCACGAATGGGACCCATTGGGATTCGATACTCGAAAGATCAACCTTGACTATGGTCTCCATCACATTCATTTCTCAGCCATATTTTCTTCCATTTTGTATGTGACAGTTATCAGAGCAACGCAAAGGGTGAAGGGAAGGCACAAACCTCACTCTCACCCCCTAGCTTGACTCACTCAAAAGTCAAATCACATCACTCGAGGCTTGGAAGCTCCTACTTCTGAATGCTCACTCACGATTGACGAACAGAGCCTGGTTTAGGGAGAAGGAAAAGTGAAGTGAGTAAGCAATGTTAATGTTCGCATGGCTTGAACAATAAAATATTTCTGTTAACTTCCTGTCTGAAATGCAAACTCTCCAATTGAAGCGCTAGTGTATCATTTCCTTGCAACGAGGAATGTTGGCCAAA